AATCTAGAACCAACGGTTCCGCTGTTGTGGGCTCCAAAGTGGTTCAGGGAAGCGCGATGATTGACTTGCTGTGTGCACGGAAAGAGAGATGAACACCTATTGAGGTGAGCCAGCAGTCCAGGCAGCCGATATGCCCGAAAAGCCAGATAGAAGTTGCCAACTGTGCCCAAGAAAGCTACGGAAGGTACGTATGGCTAACACGACAAAAGCTATAGTAAGGAGGGTCCGAACGGTTGTCCTCCGGTCCAAAGCTCAGTGAGAGCCCGGCTACGACGACTGGCAGCTGCAAGTGCAGGGCCTGGTCGAAGTATAGAGAAGAAAGGCCGGACTATAAAAGGCCTGTGTAGCGACGTACGAGCTGACTAGGTAGTACTAGGTAAAGCACTCAGGGCTGCGTCACGAGCGCAGAAATGTCCCCCTGGTAGCAGTGTCGGCGGGCACAGTCAAGAGGTTAGGAAGATGGAGGAGGGAGGTGCACAAACCAGCGGTCGACGAAGGAGGGGCGCGCGCAAAGGTGTCGACAAGAGATAGCAACCGGTTAGAGCGCAGGGCTCATAACCTGATGAACTCTGAACCTGGAAGGCTGTAAGCCGCACAAAGAGAGGTCTTCAGTCTGTGAGAGAACGACTGAAGAGCAGAGGCCTGCAGAGTCCTCCTTATATGCTACTGGGGAGGACGATGAGTAAGCGTATAGGAAGAGGGCATGTGACGTCCAGAGGACGCTGACTGAGCGATGAGTAACACTGAGTAAGGGAGCATAATCGACATAAGGTCAGATAGTCCATGGCTGAGTAATGCGAGTAATCCGGACGCTGTCTAGAATAGTCCGGAACATCGTAGAACGTACCAGAATCATATGGAGGGATGGCAGAATGCCAAGTAAGTACAGAACAAAAGAATGTACGTATATGGTAAGTGGGAAAGTCCATGCTGGCGTATGGTAGACACACAGCCACTATCACTGCCACTCCCGGTCCGGCACAGCCGTAGACACAGAAGTTCAACACTCCCACTCGTTCAAGATGTGGAGGACACCAAGCCAATGCTGCGACGGAAACGGTCCAATATGGAGAAGGGCACGTTTTTTGTCAGCGCGTCGGCAAGTTGCTCCCCAGAAGCAACATAGAACACCTCAACGCTCCCACTTTCGACCTGCTCTCGAACATAGTGGTAGCGGATGTCAAAGTGCTTGGTACGTCGGTCAATGACTGGGTTGATGGCGAGGTAGATGGCGCCTTGGTTGTCCACGCACAGAGGCGTAGGACGAGAGATATCATCCCCGAGTTCACTGCCAAACGTCCTCAGCCAAGTCATCTGACGACAAGTGTCCGAAGCGGTGAGGTACTCCGCCTCAGTAGAGGAGAGGGAGACCGTCGTCTGTCGCCTCGATGCCCATGATACGGCACCACCTGCCATCAGGAAGACAAAGCCGGATGTGGAGTGCCTGTCGTCGCGATCGTCTGCCCAGTCTGAGTCCGAGTAGGCCAGCAGACCGTCATTCGAAGCACCGAAGTAGCGCAACCTGTAGTCCTTAGTACCTTGCAGATAGCGAAGGATGTACTTGGCTAGGTTGTAGTGCGACTCGTTCGGGTTGGCATTGT